GAAGGCTTAGGAGAATTTTGGCAGGAAAATGGATAGGGCACGTTTAGAAGCGCAGGTTTTGGATTGCTGCCAAAGTACTATGCCATATACCAATGCTAAAGCTTAGAAAAAACTTGGCGAGCAAAAGGCAAAGGCATATTTTGGTTGGGTATACGGTCGGTATTTAACTGAAACTTTGAATATATACTATGAATCTTCAAATAGCCAGAGATGTCATTGCTTTTACAGAACCGAAGCTCTCAGATGGCTCATCAAGGATCTCTACTGCACCCACTACACCAGAGGTTATTCCGCTGAAGTTATCAGAAGACAGTGACGGTGATGACAACTCAGCAGCGGCTGAAGGTCCTCATTTTCAAGAGGAAAACCCAGCAGAAAAAACAAGTGAAGTGTCGGTTAGTGAAGACGAAAATAGTGCAAGTAAGAGTACAAGTGAAAGTGCAAGTGAGAGCGAAAATCAGGAATCAAGGTATCCTACGCGTGTAAAAAGACAACCTGACAGGTATGGTGACTGTATTACTAATTACGATTATGATTTTGCTATGGTAATTGGTTCTAATTCTTGTTTTTTTCAACAGGAAGACCAGACTTTAGCTCATGGTAATTTTATATACAACCGATAAATTTATTAATAATAAAATAAGTATACGAATATAACGTCGTGCAATATTAAATTTTACCAATAAAATGGAGCATTTAATAATGCCAAAACGAACGTGTCCAGTTCGATGTCCAGCAACTAATGAAATGCTCAAAGTTGTCGCTTCTTTTGAAAAAGGATAATCCAGTTCTAAAGCCATTTGTAACGTATCCAGTACAAATCTTAGTACCGCTCACAAAGGCAAAATAGTATCATCATCACTCTCAGCTTATTCAACCATTTACAATTATGGTGTAGCCTCCCTCATATACAGGGTGTCCCACTTAAGATGGATGCAAGCCAATATCTTGGTTGTTTGATGAGCGATCTTTTTCATTTTTGGCAGGAGGCTATATGGCTATAAGACGTACATTTTGCCCAGGGTAAGAAATGCAATACCTCATAGACGTACCATTGAATCCTCCTTACCCAAGATACTTAAGTTCTAATTTTGATAAATGTTGATACGGGGTATGTTATTAAAATAAGACATTTTTATTTTTATTGTTATTTTTTAAGTACTTACGACGCCACTGGATCAACAGCTGGTTTATTATCAATAACCAATTATCAATTAATAATCGATTTAAGTTTTCAGATAGCTTCCATAACAATTAAGATACGATACAAAAAAACTAAATATTTTCATCGTTTCATGTTTATTTTAAAAAATTGTTTTTTAAGTTTACTAATACAAATGGATAAAATGAGTTACAAAATAATTTAAAAACCAGTTTTCAATGGAATCTGAAATATGATTTTTATTCGTTTTATTGAGGAATATTTTAAAAAATCCAAATATGTAGTTATTTAAAACAATCACCTATTAACTTTGAAAAATATACTCTAAACAAAGATTTATAAAACTATAACGAACTAAAAGTAAACATCTTCGACCAAACTTAAGTCGATTATTAATTGATAATTGGATATAATTGGTTATTGATAATAAGCCAGTTGTTTATCCAGTGGCGTCGTAAGTATTTAAAAAAATAATAATAAAAATAAAAATATCTTATTTTAATGACACACCCTGTATCAATATTTATAAAAATTAGAACTTAAGTATCTTAGGTAAGGAGGATTCAATATAATTTATCAGATTTCAAATAAATACTCTCCTAAGGGTAGTTTACTCTTGACTCGAAAAATATCAAACCCCATTTCTTACCCTGGGCAAAATGTACGTCTTATAGCCATATAGCCTCCTGAAATGAAAAAGATCGTCCAACAAACAATCAAGATATTGGCTTGTATCCATCTTAAGCGGGACACCCTGTATATGAGGAATAATAATAATCCATAATTGGAAATTGTTGCCTTTGTGAGCGGTACTAAGATTTGTACTGGATACGTTACAAATGGCTTTAGAACTGGATTATCCTTTTTCAATAGAAGCTTCCAGACGGTCACCCGTCCATCCACTCGCATTCTTCTAACGTCGCTTAACTTCGGTGATTTACCGGGAACCGGTGTTTCGACCTAGCTTGGCCGTTGACCGCTACCGGTAAATATTGTTTAGGTTCTTCTTAATTAAAATCTGTTGATACTGCAATAATTACAGTAAAATCTCGCTGTAGCAACGATGGTGATTAACGAAATTAAGTAATTAACTTCAGGACAGACAGAAAATATTGCCAGTTGACCATAAAAGGTAAACAATTCTGTATATACCGTTGTAATCATTTTAATTTCGATCTTTCAGTATGTCAAGGCACAAAAACAAGCAAGAAAAGCGGCGTATAAAAGTGTATACCTGTATTAAATTACTACGGGTGAAGGTACTGTGAGCTACTTATAAACAAATTTAGGACAGACTGTATAGATAACCATAAAATAATTTATATATTTTTTTAAGTTACAGAGTTTGATCATTTTGACCAAATCAAAAACAAAGTCCAAACCAGGGGCGGGAAAGTAAAATAGCAAAAGCGGTTCCACCGTTTCCATGGAAATTTCAAATAAAATAGTTCCAGCCTCAGGCGCTAGGTGGTAGTGCAATTAATTTTTAGGTTAAGAAGTTGCTACTAGTTATTGCCAGATGTCGTCAAATAGTTTCCATAGTTTCCAACGGCCATTGTCATACTATTGTCAAATTCTCAAAAAATATTGTCGTTGTCATAGCGCCAAACATAATCTTTGATCATAATATTATCAAATGATTATCAAAACGTTTTTCAAACTATAATTTGTTATATGTGTTTTAATTAGACAATTCCTTTTGTTTGTGGCCCTAAAAATATAATGTAAGTCTTTTATTTTTGCCATCATTTAAGTACCTATTTATATTTACTCCATTTACAAAACTTTGGGCCTATTACGTAGGTCTTGTTTTATTATAATAAACGATGTTTAAATATTTGACTTAATAATAAATAAAAACTTTTAATAATAAATAATATTTACACATATTTGGCTTTAATTTTATTTAATAATTGTATAAATTATACTGTTAAATCTTATTTTTTACACAACACAACGATACTTATCATTAGTATTGTTGAATTTGTGTAAAAAATAAAATTTAATAATCAAATTTAATTATTTTAGAGTAAAATTCAATAAATACGCTCATTTAAAAAGCCCGCGCTTCGATCCATTTAAAACAAGCCTTACTCAACAGATGGCGCCACTTCTGTAGGAACATTTTTCAGTATGGCAGAGTCCATTCTTTTTCTAGCTAGGTATATTCTTTGGTCCAAACCACTGTCAAAATGACTGATTTGACAGTGGTTTGGACTTTGTTTTTGATTTTAACATTAAGTTTTTTATTTTTTTATAGATATACAGGATGAGTCTTAAATAAGTTCACATAATTTTAGGGGTAATATATTTCAATCCCAGGAAGTTTTTTTTTAAATTCTGTATTTCTCCAAAATTTTCAGCTAGAAATATAACATCTTGATGATATGTTCTCAAAATTTAAGCAATTTTTTTATTATTTTCAAAGTAAAATAACTCGGTTATTTTGGAGTTATTTGAAAAACGGTAAAGAAAAAATATGTTTCTTTTATCGAGACCTACCGACCCACGGTGGGGTATTTGACACAGATATTTGATCGAAATTTTTTTATGTAGACCTTATATAAATTATTGCTATTTTCAATTAAAGAGGAAATAATATGAACAAAATAAAGGATAATTCGTCGATTCTAAAAAAAGAAAGAAAAATCACTGTTCCAGTGTTTCCACGGTCAATGCCACTAATGCCAGTAGTAATATCGCAACTAATACTACTAATGCTACGACTGATCCGCGAGCAATGCCCATACCACTAAAGTCGCTACTAATGCCAAATTGTGCTATACTGCTAATAGCACTAATGCGATCGCTTTGTACACAACAATGCCATCGCGGTTTACACCTCGCATTAGTATATCACTGATTGGCATATTAGAGGAAACCAAGAATGTTTTTCTCATTTTATCAGCAAAGTCGCAAAAAGTCGCAGTATTTTATTTTACTGTATGAAAGCCTAATGTTTACTAAGTAAAACGTATATACACAATATGCCGAATTCTTCGAAATGCGCAACTAAATCTCTAAGTATAATAAAAATGTCACAAATTAAATAAATTTTTCTGAACGCCTAACTGTTAGTTGCAAAAAAAATCGTTAGTATAAAGAATATCAAAATAAATAATACGTTTTTGTAGAATACATACCTGCAGCTTGCTGAGCCATTTTCAATCAAAACAATAATATAAACGTAAAAAGAGCACAAGAACAACAACAATTTATAATTTTAAACATAAAATTTAGCCATTTACCTCTTATCTGTGGGAAGTAACAACTTTGACGTTTCGTTGAAACAAATGAATGCGACTAAACACACCCATAGCAACGCCATTCATGGCAGAGATGATTTAACTTATCATTTATCTTTTTTTGGGAAATCTTAAACACATTTGCTTTTTCGAATTTCGATCACCTTTTTCATGCTAATACCCCACCGTGCGACCCTGCAAATATATGCACTTATTTAAGACTCTCACCCTGTATAATCATAGAAAATTCACATGATCATGTCAATCATGACTTAAATAATATCTTAAAATTATAAATATATCAGAGAGGCTTCTCATAATTTAGGAGTTTTTTTTAATTTTCAGTTAAAAAAAAACATAATATTTTCATATGAAAATGAATAATATTTTGATGTAAAAGCACAAAAAGAAATTCAGTGGTTCTCAAAATTTAAACAAAAAATTAATTTTTTAAACTTTCAAAGTAAAATCTTTGGGACCTATTTGAAAAACGATAAAGAGAAAATAATGGAATTATAGAAATATCGGTATAATCATAGAAAACTCTTAAACAATATCCAAAAATTCCAAAGAAACTTTCAAAAATAACTTACCAAACTTCGGTAAAACTTCCAAACTAAACCATAAACACCACAAAATAAAACACAAACAGACCAAAAAAACAAACAAAATCACAACAACAAGAAATCATCCACTATATAAACAGTCAAAACGAGCAAGTTCTTTAAAAACTGATAAACTATTATTCCGGCTTTTTTCGCGACGGACGCGCTCGTAAGGAAAAATCGCAACAGGCGGCAACGCTGTAACGGCCGTGCTTTCCCAGAGAGAACCGCGCGGTATCTGAGGCTGGGGCCACAAAGGCCCAACGCAGAAACGTCGGAAAAGACCGTGTGTATGAGACTGAGCTGGCGCGGTGGAATACTGAAGATAGTTGTTGCAGCTCGGGGCTATTAAGAGAGCCTGTATTCCATCGATGTCAAAGAGTAATGAAATTTAGATAGGTTGAGAGTGATTGCATTAAAAAAAGCTAAATTTTTGAGTCAAAAAAGTGTTTAAAAGTAAATAACTCATGCAGTGGAGTTATAGACCTCAATAAAGTAAGGGCATCGAGTTGGCGAGTAGTCAGCTCGAAGGAGGAGGGCTATGGTCAGTTCCTCACAAAAGGAATTGACCTCAAATCCGAAAAGGCAATAGAAAAAGAAGGATATATTATCCTCTGTTATAGATTGGGTACAACACCGGTATTACATACCGCCATTACTCGCTGACGAGTATTCAACACGCATCAGAAGATGGTCACGCAAGGCGCTTTCTTTCATGAGCTTTTGTATGACTGAAAAGCCCGATACGTGATGTCTACCGCACTCCAGACATTCAAAAATCTCATTGCTTTGTTGCTTCTTTCCTTTTTGGTTGTCGCTGTTAACTGAGTTTACAATTCTTTTTTTCCTTTTTTCCTTTTTACAATTCTTTTTTTTTTCTTTTTAATGGTGTATTTTAAAAAACGTTCTATCATTTTTAGGGTTCCGTACCCAAAGGGTAAAAACGGGAACCCTATTACTGACTTCGCTGTCCGTCCGTCCGTCCGTCTGTCACAAAGATCTATCTTATCAACCGTTATAGCTAGACAGTTGAAATTTTTACAGATAATGTATCTATGTTGCCGCTATAAGAACAAACACTAAAAACAGAATTAAATAAATGTTTATAAATAAAAAAGTACTTTCACTAAACATTATCTTTTAAGTAAGAATTTTACATAGAATCTTTCAAGTCCTGGTGGCCGCCTGGTTTAAAGCGTTAGTGTGCGAACACAGTGCAAGCAGGTTTGCCGCTTTCTGGTAGCCAGCGCCAATCTGGGTACCTATTCTTGACATCGTTCGCAACTTTGCGTATATGCATCACGTGTATTGTTATAAACAGGGTATCCCAGAAATAAGTGCAAGTATTTTAAAGGGTGGTAGATCTCGATAAAAGAAAAATATTTTCTCTTTATCGTTTTTCAAATAAGTCCAAAATAATGGAGTTATTTTACTTTGAAAATTTCCAAAAAAAAAATATTTTTTACTAAAATTTTGAGAACATTTTTTTTTCTTCTTCATGTGCCTTCTCCTCATCGGAGGTTGGTGACCATCAATTGGAATTCCTCCCTGTCTTGAGCCAAACGGATAATTGCACTGGCCTCTCCTATATTAAACCACTGGTGCAAATTCCGCAACCAGGAAAACCGTTTACGCCCGATGCCTCGTCGTCCTTCAATCTTTCCCTCAACGATCAGCTGTAGGAAACTATATTTGTTATTTCGAAAAATATGACCAAAACATGCTGCTTTCCGTCGTTTTATTGTAGTCAATAGTTCTTGGTCCTTACACATTCTTTCCAATACTTCGAGATTTGTTTGAGAACCACTGGATTTTTTCTGGATTTTCTTTCTTGTAATTTTAATCTACTACCTATGTTGACATATTATCAAGAAATAATTTTTTTTAAACAAAAACTAAAAAAAATCCAAAAAAATTTTCAAAAAATTCCGAATTTTCAAAAAAAAATTATTTAGAAAAAACCTCATAGGCGTGTTTCTGGGGTTGAACTATACTACCAGTTAAGTTAAAATACTTGCACTTATTTCTGGGATACCCTGTATATGGTTACATAGTAGCGCCACGCCGCGCCTATAACCTTGAAAAATTAAAGCGTGTTATCAAATCGGCTAGTTCACAGTGAAAGCAGGCAGATGGCAGGCAGGCACCGTCAACCAGCGTTCATCGGCGTTCTCGCTTTTACCGGAACGAAAATTTATTTATTTCTGCTTTTGCACGCGCCGACGGCACACAGAGGGTATTAAGAACTAAAAGTTGGCCAAAATTATGTTTTATGATTTTTTTGCTTTTTTGCTTGTAATATTAATTATTAATTAGAGGAGAGGTTGCTAATATGGAACCCCATTTTGTTTTTCCTACACAATATTTTTTCCTCTACTCTGAAACCCTTTCCACCGATCAAATAGGGCCATTCTGTGCAAAATCAAGCAATTGGATGAGGATGCTAGAACAAGAAAGTAATTTGTATATTATAGACGATATTTGAGCGAGGATGGGTGTTATAGGGTAAAGACTATTTCCTTTAAGAATCTATTTAAATCAATGTTTTTTTGGCAGTGGCAAATATTGGCAAGATTTTTGTACATATTCCAAAGCTGGAGACTTTAAGCATTGAACGGATACTAATTTCCATGCGGAATATTGCCGAATAGTCTTACACCTTATAAAAATGCCTCTGATTTTTTAAATATAAAACATTATAAAGAAATAGAATAGAAGGAAACGTTTCAAAATAAAAATATGGCATAAAACAGAACAGAGCAAACAAACAAAGCTGGCTCTGTATCCATCATGACAGTTATTATGAACAATTTGCAAAAAAGCACTACAAACAATTCCACTATTTTTATAATCTTAGAAATATTCAGAATACACTCAAGATAATTCATACTTTTAACTAAAATATATTATTTATTTGATAGTCAACTTACGACTTAAAAAGCTAATAACTAATAAACGTGCTTACATTTAGTATTTATAGATTTGTATTCAGTTAAGATAAAAATGAAAATAAAAAAAATATCACTTTTGGCCAGGTTTATAGACCAAATACATCTATGTGCGGCCCCGGCGAGGTGGGCGCGGCGTTTGAATATAGTTTGGTTAGGTTAGGTTAGTTAATCAGGTAAATTTCCTCTTAATTATCTACTTCTCGAACCCTTCTCGCATCTCCGAAATAGCCATATACAATACACGTGATGCATATACGAAAGTTACGCATCTGTGTATTGTTATATGGCTTTTTAGGAGATGCGAGATGCGAGCGATATTTGAAGATGCGAGTGGTCAAGAATAGGTCCCCAGAGACGGCGCTGGTTGCCAGAAAGCAGAAACCTGCCTCCACTATGTTCGTACCCTTAGGACTTTACGCTGCTATGACGTTGGAGCCGTAGTAAGGCAGGTTCGAATCCTAGTCAAGGCGACTTTTTTTAAATCGTTTTTTTTTAATTTTAAATATTTTTACATATTTATTTTTACTCTTTACATATTTATTATTGATTAATACAATTTTTAGTAATGTGTTTCTTCATTTTTTTTTAAATTACTTATACGCGCATTCAAAATTTCAGCTAAATCGGAAAAAAAGTTTATAATAATTATAGTGTCTGATATTGTATAGATAATGAATGGTACGGAACCCTTCGTGCGCGAGATTTTAATGTCAATTTTTAGTAAATGACGTATAGAGACTCACTGTCCTCGCCGTTTTTTTCGATCATACGGTATAAAGGAACATTTAGTATGTAAATTTGTGTATTTCCTGATTTTTTCTAGACTTTGGACGTTTTAATCAATGTTTTGGGGCAGCGTTTCGTTATGCCCGTCCTCGAAACCGATAGGTCTTCACTTGATGACTTCGGTGTCGAATTACGGCCGTTTTTGGTATGTAATCCTCTCGTTTTTTACTTGTTCCGTCGGTTTTCTAACCGTGTTGTTTCGAATTAAACGGCTGAATTGACGGCTGAACGGACCGAACGAGTATCGCTGTAAATAGGTTTGAAGAATATCGTTTGTCGAAATTTATATTCAGAAGCACATGTGTTTGGCCTTTTGGGATATGTTAAAAGATTCCACACCTTTTTTTCTTAATCAACAGAGATTTTGTAGTTTAATGTAAATTCCGTTGTTTAATGTAAATTCAGGAACCGGGAATTTCGGTTCACTTAGAATCCCAGTGGTTAACTTATACAGGGTGGCCCATCGAAAACGTTCCGCAAGGCATAACGGCCAGGATATTTTTTCTTTCAAAAAATCCAAAAATACGTCAATTTTGTTTGTGAGGGGGACCACTTTTGCCCCAAAAATGATTGTAAAATCTTCAACGCTCTAAACGGGGGTGTCATCCCCCAACTTTTTTCAAATGGGAAGGGGGGTCAAGTGGCGCCGCAATGAAAAAAGTTTTCTATTCTCTATATTTCTCCGCTTCGTTTTTGAAAATCGGTCGAGTCATTGAGAAAATATGAAGGATTGAAATTTGAAAACTTTATTTAAATATTTATCAGAGTAAATGATAAGGATAAATTCCTTCGACCAATTTGCTGTTTTTTATGTTGAATAATATTTGCAACAAAATTTGTAATAACATCAAAATCAGTCAAAGTCGTAGTTTTTGGAATATTCCGTGTTTCCGTAGTCCGTTTTTGAGAAAATCCGTATGGAGAACTCCAAACTCCCATCGGACGCGACCCCAGGCGGCGGATAGGGGAAAATCCTTTACTTTTAAACTAAAAGAACTACCAACTTTTCATTAACATATTTTAGTATGGGCGGCTAAAATATTTAGTAATTAACGACTTTCTTATGTGATAGGGCCGTATCTGGGGGGGTGTTTTGGGGGTTCAACCCCCCAGTGGCCTAAATTTTTTAAAAAGTAATGATCATTAAGTAACCAAGTAAGAACGAAACAAAAAAGAAGAAGAAGATGGATGAATATCAATGACTAAAGAATACAAGGACATGTAACGCCCATATACGGGCTGCAGCAGAATTTGTGACCTTAGACGCCAACTTTTTTTAGACTTTTAACGACATCATCCGCTGGTCATCAGCGACAATTTTAGCGATTTTTAATAGTTGATTGTGTGTAGTGAACTTTGTATAAACTTTATTACAATGGTAATTTGTTCGGCTTTCAAGTGTAAAGGCGCAATGATAAGAAAAGACCTAAGTTACGTTTATGGGAAATAAACGGTCCCCTAGACCTTTTTTTAGCGTTTTTTTATTGAATTCATTTCGTAGTGGTG